TTGGCCATTGAGGTTTGAATGATGCTTAATTTTTGTGGAATTTCCCTAATTTTAGTTGATATTCTATTCTCTATTATATCTTTATTACTATTATAATTTAAGCATCTTTAATGAACTGTTGTAATTGCATTGATCTTACTTTACAAATCGATATTGTTTGAAAAACACTAATATTGTTATTAACTACTTATCTAGAATATTCTGTGCATATAAACATATATATAATTGTAGAGCTGGAAGAGGAATTTATCGAAAAGAATATTCTTTGCTCAATTATTTTGTGTCTTATAGATGTCTGAATGAATATTTTCGCTACATTGATTTCAACATGGCAACTTTGTAAAGATGTGCACAGCAGTTCCAGCTGCCACACTCCTTCCATGTAGCACATAAAGCAAGAGAAGAGAGTGAGGCGATTTAGAAGAGAGAGAGATAATAAACAGAAATTCGAGTGACAGAAAAACAATAATAATTTGGAAGAACAATAAAATTCTATTGGATATTATAAATTACAAGGAGTGAATGAATCCACGCCAGCCATTCAAAACGGTTTTGAGCCATATCACCAATTGTCTCCAGCCGTCATTAGTTTTTGCCATCCCGAGGATCCCAACCGGTCAGGAAGTCTACACCTCCTCACGTGATTGGCTGGCTTAAACCAACTGTTGTGGATTTCATTGACTGATGAAGCCATGTTTTGGTTTGATCGCCATTAGGTGTTTTTCAACCTGATCCAACCTATGTCAGTCAGCTAACATTTCCTGTTGTCGAGGAAGGCTGTGGCTAGCCACGGATGCGTAACGCATGTCCTAATCATTTCAGTCAATGTAGTTTCGCTACCTCGTTGACGTTCTAACGCTTCACTTCTACCTATCTCTAAGTTAGTAGTGAGTCTATGTGGTCAAGTCCCGTAGCATCATCTTACATTTGACAGCAGGAGCAAATCACATGCCAAACATCCGAGGATTGCTGCCTGTCAAGGTGTTCAAAAGATTCTGCTGCATTTTGTCAGCATCTTCACCTAGTTGAAGGACTATATCATCTGTATATTCTAAGTCGGTGAGATTATACCTTGGTAATACGTCAATAAATCACTGAGTCGCTAAAATCAGTTAGAGCGAAGTCCATTAGTACATCTATGATGAAATTAAAGAGAAATGGGGATATTGGTGGGCATCTGTGACGGAGATCACTGGTCGTCATTACTTCAGATGACAAATCTCTGTGGGCTCCCACCTGACTGGCTGCATAAGTTCGAGTAGAGTGCCTTGATCAGTGATGTTATTTGATGAATGGTGGTTGGTTCTGGAGCTGGTGGGTGCTGGGTTCGAGTTTCGCTGAGAAAACCATCAATCACTGGCGATATCAGGTACATCCAGATGACGAGTCCAAAATAAGAGGGAATGCGGGTCATGGATTAGATTGTCAGTCAGCATCCACCTATATAGAAACTATTAATGGCAAGTTGGTAGAAAAACTTTTGCCAAATAAAAACTTCAAACTATGATGTTAAACTTTCGAATTCCTTCTTTCATGAGTTACATGACGTTCTGCGTTTACCAGTCTCAACGTAGGCTAACAACTGTTCGCTGAATATCACCCATTTCATATGTGATACCAGTAGATGCTTCAAAAACTAAACAAGTCATTTCATTACTTTCCTTTTATTGTAGACAAATAGTGATAAGAGTGAAAATTTCAACAATATAATCCAGTGAATTTCAGATAAAAAATGCGTGTTGGGTAGTCTTTAATCCAATTCTCTGTTATTTATTAAATCCTGTGAATAATTTTTATCTGTATATTTCAGACAGTGCTGATAAGATCGCTTTATTGATCAATTATTTAAAAACAAAAATAAAAACCTATAAAAAAACAACGACTAGATTATTTATTTTATACTTTATTTTACTATAGCTTGATTCCACGCCGTATTTTTGATATAAGTATGGAATTTTCAGAATGTGATATCGGTAGCCAAAATTTAGCAGGGTGACCATTGATATCAGATGTTCGTCGGTCGGTGATCGAACTCCGGACCATGTGCATGGTCTGCGAGTGTCCTGACCGGTGTTCCACCGACGCACAGACAGAGAAAGTGTAGGGACTTAGTAACTTTAATTTTATTTCAATGATATTTGAGAATAAAACCAGGTTTTTTAGAAGCTACTTGACCAGTTTAAGGATATATCTCTTACAGTAACTGTGCGTCGGTGGCACAGTGGTTAGGACTCTCGCCGACCGTGCACATGGTCCGGGGTTCGAGCCCACGCCGACGCACACCTGATATCTATGGTCGGCCTGCGAATTTTGGGCTACCGATATCCACGCTGAAAATTCCATACTTGTACCAAAAACACAGTGTGGAATCAAGCTGTAATCAAAAATAAAATAAAATAAATTACCATTGGTTAAGACCTATAATGTTTAACCCACTTATATATAAGCGAAGGTGTATTTAACCACATGAATCTGGGATCTAGTATAATTTAGTAGTTCACTAGTTTAGTAACCGGTCTCGAGTCTCTAAAAACAGGGAAGATCGGCATACGGCCAGCGACACTAACCAGGAAAATCAGCCCGATCGTTACAGGAACTTTTAGGCACAACAGAAATATAAAACCAAACTTATTCTTTGCTGGACTGCGGAATCAGCAACCCACTCTGGTCACGCAGACAACAACCATGATCATATTTAGGAGGTGGCTGTCATGATTATACCAACAGCATTTAGAACTCTTTTGTAGTGGGAACCACTCTCATCCAGGAAGTAATGACAGAAAGATTTAGCTCAAAAGGAAGAAGGGAAGTTCACAATTATCCCAAGCTACACTCCTACAAACGACGTAGATCAAAGGAAGATGGGAGGTTTCTATTGATAACTGAAAACAGTAATACATAAGATCACAAATGGCGACAACGAAATCCTAATTGATGATATGAATGCAGGGAACATTAGGAGCAGACAGACCTTCATCACTTTGAAATCAGTGCAAAAATTCACTGTATTCAGTATGAGGGACAAGGTCCGGATCTTCAGCACTGATGTCAAATCAAGGCTTTTATGTACTTCGGAGACCTGATGCTTGCGTTGTTTACAGCATTTTGAAACAGGGTGACATAGATTTTTACCAGGGGATTATTGAGAAGTATTCGTCATTAAATGAGTTAATTAAGAAATGCTAAGAACAAAAGATAGTCAGTGAATGGCATTTATAATGTTGTGGTGAGGGCTGGCTGTTAGTCAAAATTGGTGAACAGTAATTTACGTCAATGTGTATGTCCCCAATATTGGTCGTGAGAAAAATGAGAACAAAGGCTTTGAGTAGGCGGATACAGTTAACATAAAGGTGATCCGACATTCAAGAAACAGCCAAAAAGAGATCCAAGGTTAACTTTCTGTGAGAAACAACCAATCAGAAGACTGTGTTTTTCTGCTAACAATAATCCACAATATGTACACGAAAATATATTAATATGTGTTGATTTCCATAATAAACGATCTGTTGCCTGGCCCTTGTCCTCTGCTGTTACAATGTTACTGACTTAATGTAGGATTATTTTAAGTTTTCACTGAAGAAAAGCCAAAAAAACGTCAACTGTTTTTCGTCTTAAAGTGTAATGTGGTCTTTGAAAAAAGGTGTGAGTCTGTGTAGTTACGTCAACCAGTTAGTCCTTCTAAAATAAGGCAGGTATTATTTACCAGATGGTATTTAGTGATTTCAGTCAAACTGATCTGATGCTTAATGAGAAGTTAAATTAACTATCGCATCAAATATTCTGAATTAGACTTATTGTTTAGGAGTGAGTGACACTAAGTAGTTGTCTAGAATTCGATTTGTGGAGTGGAGTGGAGTTCAAACCTGTGTTAACTCGGTGGCAAGTAGGGCATAGTACAAACCAAATATTTAAAGTTCCTTACTGACGCACACTCCTTTTAGCATTCTTTTATTCCACTTTTTTGCACCCCATTTTATTGATCACGTCTATTATTTGAGGACATCATCCTAAAGTAATGAGATTGTTCCTTCTCGTTTATCTCATTGAAAGTGGAAGATATGAAAAGGCTAGCTGTCTTTTACCACAAATGTTCACGTTCTGTTTACCTTGCTAAGAGTGGTATGATATGGTGGATATTATTGAGGTTAGGTGATTAGTACTAGGTAAGGAGGGAAAGTCAATCTATGAGGTCCTGTAGCTACATTAACTGAGATAGCAGGGGTATGTGTTGTACATCCCGAGCCCCCGCCTTCTTCAAAAAGCAGTGCTAGCTGACATGGGACTGACAAGGAGAAGAATTAAGGTTGATAAAATCATAACCTGGAATCTCCTTATGAAGCCTTTAAAAATTGTTTTGAGCTACATAGGGAGGTATAGACTACCTGGTAGGACTTCGTGATGCTAAGAACCATTATCTGGAGATTGTTGGTGATATGGTTGAAAATATTCCTTAGCGGTAGAGATTCACTCACTATTTGTGATCTCCCATATCGATTAGACCCTCATGTTTTTCCAAATCAATATTATTACTTCCTTCACACATTTCTTCTCCTTACCGTTCCTTTCAACAGCTTTTGTCTATACATTAATGTGCCACATGGAATGCAGTATCTTTAACAGGTGCATTTCTGTGCCAAGTTGTTTGGCGGAACTCAGTCAGTCATTCAGTTGAACTTTTCATTACAATAATCGTCTTCAGCGAAGTACCATTCATTTAGTTCATATATATAGTTCATATATATATATATATATATATAAGTTTTCACTTGTAATTATTTAGGTTACGTTAGTTACTGGAGTGACATGCTTTAACAGAATAACTTTATTAATCATTATTTTCAAGACATAGCAAAATACTCAACATATTCAGTAAACCGGAAATAAGCCTACACATTCAAGCAAAAATAATTCTGATTTAAACTATGGAGGTCAATTTCAATAACTGACATATTTAGCTAGCGCAAAATGCATTTCACTTATTCAAAAAAAAGAAAACTAACCTCTTGAACATTTACATTTTCTTTAGCTGAAGTTTCCATATACGGTATATTCCATTGTCGTGCTGTCCTTAGAGCTAATTCTGGTGAGACTTGTCTTTCATCAGTTAAATCTGCTTTATTCCCAACAAGTACACGTGGAGGACACGCTGATGGTCGGACAATTAAAAATCTTTCTCTGTATGAAAAGATAAAGGGAATGATAATTCATACATTTAAAATTAAAGCAACACTGCATCAGCGATGCAGTGGTAAAATGCTCGCCAACAATGCATAATGTCCGAAGTTCGATCCTAGGTCAATGCACTTCTAGCCCTCGCCTCGCGAGTGGTAGTAAGCTCGGTAGAGAGGGTGGGGATCGGCATGAAATTGGCAAAGTCACACTGTGAAAAAGAATAAACACCACTGGTATTGAAACTTCAACTCAAAAAGCTTGAAGCCATCTTTTCCATGCTGAACGTAAAGGAATAAAATGAATATAATAATACCTATATACAGTGATTACATAAATTTGAACAATAAACTATTTCAAGTGATAGATAGTTATTTGTAGAAGTAATGGTCTAGTTATAAAGCCTCTGACGATACCAAATTCCAGGAAACTCACCGAGGAAAACTCAGAGAGGTCTTTGAAATCAATACAGTGATAAAACAAGGCTGTCTACTGTCATCAGTGAGATTCTTAATTGTGACTGACTAGACTGTGCAGCATACCTTCAGGAGACGGATGACTGGCATTCGCTGAACCAACAAGAAGACTACAGGAGATCAGAGCTTCGCGGATGATTTATGTCTGATATCACCAAAACTGGAATATCTACAGGTTAAAGTCAATAAGCTGGAAAATAAGGCCGGCAGAGAAGGCAGGACTTCAAGTGAACTCTGAGAAAATAGAGGTGATGAAGATACCTAACTAATGACAATAAGCGCCAAATCATCATCTAGGGGATGAATTTAAAAGAAGTTACCACTTTCACTCATCAGACATAGATAGTATCATTTCGTCTGCAGGCAACACAAGATGAGGATGTCACTGCCAGGATTGTAAAAGCCAGATAGACCTTCATTGCTCTGTAATCTCTGTTGGAATTAGCTACACTCAGCATAAGAAACAAGATTTGGATTTTTAACACTAATCTCAGTAAGGTCTATATGTTTCAGCGACTTGGCAAATGCATGACAAAAAGCATACTCAGCAGGCTACTGCAGACTTTTATCTACTGGTGCCCCCGATCCATAATAAAGATCAGATGGTTGGCCAGAAGGGATAAGCGACGAGGATTTCCGGCACAGAACAAACCAAAAGTCTTTCGCCCAACAGAAATGTTGACAAAATGGAGACGGATTAAAAACACGATGAAGAGACCACTGAGTGACATCACGTGGAAAGCAGGCCATCAAGTGGAATTCGACGAGTGAGCAAAGGGGTGGGTGTCTGGGGGTGATACGAAGAAGACCTTGTGATGAGGAAATGAAAACTTATGGGCAGCCATGCAGCCAGTTGGGAAAGACTTCAGAGAACGAAATGAAATATATATGTGCCATTGAGGCCTTATATTCTACTCAGAATCCAAAAGAGTTACCATAATTTGCCCTGGGGACGAATCAATTCGTCAGAACAGGCTTAGGAACTTTTTGCTTAAAATGAAGTTGAATATACTCTAAGAAGATAATGAAGTCTTAAATTTTTTCTCTAATGCGTATGTATCAGTTAGATTGGACATGATGAATTATTTATGCGCTCTGAGTTGTGAGTAAATAAATATTTTTGTGAGATAAACTGATGAAGAGTCTCAAACTAGGACGAAACAGCTGTGCAATACTCCCAGGTTTTCCAGTGGTTCTCTAACTGATGTCAGCTCATGATGAAATTTTCCATCCAATCAAACAAAAATCCCCACAAAACCAATACTTGAAGATAAACCAATGTGAACTATCAGGAGATCTGTGATACTTATGTGCCTCAAAATTCTAGAAGTGGAGGAAAACATTTGAGATTAGAAGAATCTAGTGATTGTGTCAAATGAGCCATCTTAAAGTGAATGTATCAGTTCAGAAGAAAAAGTTTTGCCTGGATTATTCGATTCCGTTTGCGTTTGTATGTTTACCTGATTTTGTTCGTCAACATATGCATCTTGTTGGGCTCAGCAACACCTCTTAGTTTGGTGGAGCAAGGGAGAACGAAGAGTCGTTCATTCTTGAACATTACAACATGTAATAGACCATAAAGATGTGATCTCTAATGTTTCTTCCAATTATTACTTACAAGATTAGACAGAATTTGTTGGAAAAAAAAGTGCCACTACATTAGACTGGTGCAGTGGAAGCCTTGAAAACAAACGATAATAATAAAAAGTCATATTTTTGCTTATAGAAACAATGTGTACACTCTCTTCTGTTACCTTGAATATAATTTGCAATACTTTTTTCATTTCATTAGTGTCCCAGGTGTATTGTAGGATTTCAGGCTTTAAGATTTGAAATTTCAGTATTGCTGGTGTTGTTCTCCCGGGATGGAGTTGCTAGCTTAACGCCTAGCCTTCTCTCTTTACTGGGTTTACTACAGGCTAAACGAGACATTAAGAATACGTTAACCGGGAATCAAATTCAAACCACACTCAAGATTAGTAAGTAAGACAAGGCTACCTACTATCTCCAATGATTTTCCTGATTGCAGTAGATTAGATAATGAGATAAACAGTGGGCAATGAGGAAACAGGCATAAAACTGACCCACACAAAAAATTTGGAGGATCTTGACATCGCTGATGATATATATATCTGATTTCTCACACACTGGAAAATATGCAAGTGAAAAGCAACAAGTTGGCAGAAGAAGCATCGAAGATAGGACTCCAAAAGAACATAGAGAAAACAGAGGTGATGAAGATGCCTGGCCAACAACAACAGCAACAAGAACAGACAACAATCTGAATAAATGAGAGAAATCTGAAAGAAGCGACCTCCTTTACCTACCGATCTAAGAAGCATCACTTCAACTACAGGCAGACTATCTGACGAGGGTATCAAAGCGAGGATCGAGAAAGCAAGGCAAGCTTTCATTACTCTCAATTTTGTGTGGGGGTCAACAGAACTCAGCATCACAAATAAGATCCGGATTTTCAACTCCAATGTGAAGTCAGTCGGTGCTACCATACGGATCAGAGAGTTGGCGCGTCATAAAGAGCATATCAAACAAACTACGGACCTTCATCAACAGTTGTTTGCACTCAATACCACTCAAGACCAGATGGCCAGAAGAGATCAGCAACAGGGATCTCTGGCAATGAGCGGACCAACCAAGCAGGAACTGATTGTGCAACTAATAGGCAGGAAGAAATGGGGATAGATTGGCCATACTCTGAGGAAACCATGAAGTGACATCACTAGACAAGCCATTGCTCGAGTGGAACCCGATATGGAAGCGGCGAGCTGATTGTCAGTGCAAGGGTGACTTGGAGGAGGTCATGTGAAGAGGAGATGAAAACATGTGGGCAGACTTGGAGCCAGGTATAAGCTCTAGCAGAGAATCGAACGCAATGGATACGTGCGGCTGAAGCCCTATGTTCCTCTAGAAATTAAAGGAAATAATAATAATCAAGATTAGTAACCATTCTACCAATGAACTATCAACTCAATTTATCAAAAAAAGGCATATAATACAGAATAAATGTTTGTTCTTTAACATGAATAATCAAAATGACTAAATACTGTCTAAATGACAGTAGTTGACTAAGTAATTCAAAGGCTCCAATTTTGATAAAATTAACCAAAAAAGTGTTGTTGTTCAAAGGACGATAACTGATGTAGAACGGTTCAGGGAGAGGAATACACGATAACTTTCAATGCATTCTTGTTATCACCTCTAGTTAGTTCGAACAAATAAACCCAGAAAGGGGAATATACAAAGTTAACAAGCATTTAGATGATTCGTAAACTGACAAATGAGTATGGAAAACTGAACAGAGATAATCAGTTTGGATAACCTGGAAATTGTATCAGTAGATATATCTTCTGTACCTAATACTGTGTTAAATTTCAGCATTACGTAAAACGATGTACCACCTAATAAATTCACATATGTTCATACATTCTCTACTTATAACATTCATGTCTCACAACCGTAGAGTAGAGAAGGGGTGGATTTCCGCTCAGCATATGAGTCTTTCGATAAGTAGCTAGACTACTCACCAATGCAAATTAGTGAATGCTAAGCGTCACGTTACCTTGATGATCTTGAAGGGTTTATTTAATTTCTCAGGTGTATGAAATAGTCAGCACGAATGAAATTCACTTATAAGATTCTATTTTCTCGTCAAAACTTAATATTCTATATTCTCAAAGGTCTTTACTTTATCGACTCGGGTATTAGTGAAACAAAATCTTTCATTAAGTTTCGGTGAATGTGCATTTCTCTTAGGTCTTATCAGTCTCCCCACCTACAGAAAAGACATTTTTTCTACATTCACCTTTCTGTGTGTGAAAGATGAAAGTGATCCTTGATTTCTAAACTGTTTGATTTGTATTTTTTACTGAAAAGTTTAAAATCTATTAACTGTTATATTTATCTAAGAACTCATGTGGTCTGATTTTGCATACTTATCTAGTGAAAGTTTGGGCTAACAGAAAACAATCAAATTTCGAAACAATGAATAGAAAAAACACTTACAGAAGACTATCAACAGCTTTGAAAGACTCCATATCAGTCAATGAAAAAACTATGATAAAGCCATCACCGCTTCGATAGTTTGTGTCTATTACACCAGCAAAAGATTCTTGACCTAAATGTGAGTAATAAAATATAATTAAAGTTACATTATGTTCATTGAGTAACATGATGTTCAGTCCAAAAAAATAATACAGTTTCAAGATTAATCACGAACTGGTGTCAATTAGGGGAAATCAGTGAAAACTAGGGAACACTGGAAAGCTGTTTCATTCTAGTTTGGGTCTTTCCGATATAACGCGTCGGTGGCACGGCGGTTAGGGAACTCACCGACCATACATATGATCCGGAGTTCGATCACCGGTCGGCACACACCTAATATCAATGGTCGATCTGCTAAATTTGGGCTACCGATATCACATGCTGAAAATTTCACACTTGGACCAAAGTAGTGTGTGGAAGCAAGCTACAATAAAATAAAATAAATATAAATAACCCTACAGCTAGGAATCAAGACCGAGACCTTCAGATGACGAGATCAACTTGCTGTTCATTCAGGAACTTGAACGGAATCCAATGGAAAGTCAATGAATTCCAACCTCTTTCACTTCTCAATTCTTAGCACCACCACTACTGGAGTTCAGCAGGTCAAGTATGAGGCCAAATATTCCCCGAAGATGGTAGCACTAAATTCGCAAGCTGATAGGAGCTGGGGATTGTCATTGAATTCCATCCCAGTGCCTAAATTACATAAAAACTCGTCTTGTAACATAGGTGTCCTAGGTTACATCTCTACCGATGGGGTCATGGATGCATACTGTCAAAGAGACCCAAACCAGGATAAGAAAAAAGAACTGTCCGGTACTACCTGGTTTTCGGTGATTTTTTAACCGATATGAATTTGTGGTCGATTCTGAAATCGATGAAATTCTTACAAATTAACACTTGAAAATAACAAGAATGCTTTTATTAAAGTAAAACAATAACTGTTTGAATAAAAGTGTCATTATTTTAAACTAGTATGTCGGTGGTTTAATGCTAGAATACACGTCGGGCAGGCATGTGATGCACTTTCGATTCCCAGTCAACGCACTCCACTCTGCGTAACTTCACCTATTTTACTAGCTGAGAGTAAGTTTGGAAAGGAGGGAAGGTTGAGCGTAAGGCTAGCATCCGAATCACCGCTACTGTACCTTCTAAGCTGAACCTTCTATTCGGAACTCAAAGGAATAAAATTTTTTACACTGAATGTTTAATTGCTGATATTTGAAAAAAGGGATTTCAACACTACAGAAAGTTACAGTACACCAAATGTTATATGTATGATAGAAATTCTAAGTTTACTTTCCATTCTAGACTTAAAATAGTACTGTCGATCGTTGGAAACAGTTTCAGTAAACAAGGAAGCATTGGTGGCACAGCACTAGGATGTTCACCACCCACGTAGGTTGTTTGGTGTTAGATTCCCGGCCGACGAACCCCCTTACCTCACCAAGCCAGTTATAAGACTGGTAAAGAAGAAAGGTTGGGCATGAGGTCAGCAACCTCATCCTATAAAATAAACAACACTGCCACCAAAATTTCAAAGCTCTAGCTTGAAGCCCCCTATGTTCCACTGGGAACGTAAAGGAATAAAATGATAATAAACAAAACAACACAGAGGTGGTGGGAGGATAAATGTGTCAAAATACTTGTTTCTATAGGCTATTTAAGTTACTTTACCGGTACGTCACTAGCTAGAGACTATCCTTCAGCTAAGTTGGTTCTCGTTCACTGAACAACATGCTCTTTGGTGCAGTCAAAAGTCGACAGAGATCCTCGTCCTTAACTCCAACTGTGCATACAAATTTACGTGTATCTGCGGGAGCAGTTACATTAGGATAACAGAAAGAAGGGTACACCTACGATTTTCTGAACATGTACCGAAAAGCCTACGTCTCAAGCGAACAAACTCTTATAATAGCGCTATTACTAGATATCTCCTCGATACGGGTCATGAGGTGGAGATCGCGAAATCCTTTAAAATTATCAGTAGACAAAGGAGCTGAATTCTCCTCAAGTTTGGCGAACCAATTTCTATCAAACGGTCGAAACCAGATTTATGTGTTCAGAAAGAAGCAGTTATTAGTCTTTCTTTACCCTTCTTGGTAACTGGATGTCTTTATTCTCTCTTTCATTTGATTGGGTAACCTTTGGCTTTAACCCCACCCCCTTGACACAGTGTGATTTTGCTTGTCTCTTGTTTCCATGGTTTGAGTTGAACTCAGTACATTGTTACCTAAACTTATTAGTCACTCAGCATCTTACACATCTCTCATCTTTATTACATAACTCCTTTACGATTGTATGCATACATTTATTTTGTCAAAACGTGAACTGTCTGTGTAAAAACTATACGAGCACAATTTTCTGAGCACTGTTCAATAATTGTGGAACCTTCTGTCAACTGACACCATGAAACATTTGCGAGTATGATAAAACTTTTCTGTACATAAACCTCATACTTTATTTAGGCTGTAATTAGCAACTAATGATAAGCCAACGAAATAAACGATGGTACCATATTATTCTGCACAGCCCACTGTTGTTCTTGCTTCAAATTCATCAATGGAAATAAACGCATGAAGTTACCCGTTTCTGTTATGCTGAGTTTAAAGAATAAAAGTTCAGTTAAAAGCTCTAATATATTGACATACAGCATAGTCTTTTTGTACATCAGTCCTGATAGAATATTAGTGTCAAGGCACTGACTGCATGAATCAAGTATAGGCATGTGTATTTTAATGTTAACTGAAGGCATGTCTAGTTAAAAGAATGCCTAAACTGGTCATACCAACAGAAAGTCTTCAGATGCTGTTTTCAGTCTTCTAAAAGTGTTAGAAATCAATTGTTACAGATTCCTTATGTAATGAGGTTTCATTACAGAACCTATGGGCTGAAAGTCACAGACACTACGCTTCATTCTGATCGTCCCTATAAAAAGGACGAAACAGCTGTCCAGTACTCCCAGGTTTTCCAATGGTTCTCTAACCAATGTCAGCTCACGATGAAATCCTGCAACCAATTAACCAAATCCCTACAAACCAATACTTGAACATCAATGAGATGCACACTGGCAACTAGCCCTATTCAGGCAGGTAGTTACCTGGAGTTCTAGTGAGAAGCTGTGACCAGTAGGGTGCAGCAGGTCGGGTGTGAGGACAAATATGTCGTAAATTGGCACAAGTTAGAATTCATGGGCTGGCCATTGAACCGGGTCCCAGTGGCTCAATGGTCTACGAGCTCGCCTTGTAACCAGAAGGTCCTGGGCTCGAACCCCGGTGGGCGCGTACCGCTGAAGAGTCCCAAACTAGGACGAAACAGCAGCTGTCCAGTACTCCCTGGATTTCAATGGTTCCCTAACCAATGTCAGCTCATGATGAGTTCAGAATAGATTAGTTACGCTATACTACATTTAACTTATTAGAATTTCGTGCCACATGATGGAATTATCTCTACCCTAGAAACTGGTAAAATGAATATTTCGAATATAATTTTTTTCGACTTGATCTCTTTATGTTTAAACACTGAAATTAATTTAAACTATCCGATCAAATCATGTGGTAAGAGAATTAAATACATTTAAAAAGAATATTAGTTAAACGTAATCAATAATAACCAATACAGGTGACTAGACTTATTAATATAAAAAAGCTTTTCTGCTCAAAAGTGTGTCGGTTGGTGTACTTCAAAGAAGCCTAGTACATTCATAAAATCAGAGAAAAGTAATGTAATGTCACTATTAATGCATGAAGATTTACAGGCCGCAGGGGGGAGTGGACAGCCGGCGGTGAGAACTACATTTAACGCAATCACATATTTATTTCCAGGTGCACATTAATTATTCAATAGTTTGTAACGGTTACAAAATGAGTACTTCTTAAGTGTTCATACATTTCATGAGGTCATTTTATAGCAATACGTTATACAGTTATGAAGGCAAATGTGTAATATGATTAAGAAATAAACTGGTAACAGCAGCGAGTTTTGTTTTTTATACCGGAAGTCAAACTACTACACATTCTCATTTAAACTGATTTTAGGAAGATGTGGACAATAATAGGGGTAGTCAAGTAAAGAAGAGTCTCAAGCATGGTGATCACCGCCAAGGAGTACTCGATAGATGTTTCGTCGTTTTTTAGGACTCGTTAGCAATACGCACATATAGTCACCCATGTCTTATACTCTGTAGTATTTAAAATACCTACACTGTAGCACTATTCCTATGTTAAAAGAGAATGGAGGAAAAAATACCTACAAACCATCTTCGAAAAGAGTGAATATCCTCATAATTTTATCAAAAAGTGTTTGAAACTCGAGTCACAACACCAACAACAAACTACCATTTAAGATAAACAAGAAAAATCATCATACCATATATAAAAAATATCTCTGAAATAACAGCTAGAGTATTATGACAATTTGAAATGTGTATAGCACACAAGCCAGCTAACCAGCATAATCTTTTCATTTGGCATTGTGTAAACCAAAAGATCCAACAGAAAAAGAAGATAAAATTAATAATATTTTCAAAATAAATTGTATGAACTACAATCAACATTACATCGATTAAAATGGGCATCCCCTTCGAATCCAAATCCAAAAACATAAATTGACTGTAAAAAGACATGGTATATATAATCTTTCGTATCAATGCATATGGATAATTATGGACACTAATTTGACTGGGATAATGTAGAAATTTTAAATAAAGGAAAGACTAAAAATGCCACAGAATTCCGAGAATCCTGGTACTCAAGTGAACCAATAATCAACAAACACATTATTATAGACCAAATTTATCAGCTGATAAAAAATAAATCACATAACAAGAAAGTTCATATTCTAAGTCAATAAAAATGACCAATAGAGACGTAAATTAAAAACAAGTCACGACAGTGGTTGCCGGGAGCAACAGTTACATCATTCATGGAGAATTTAAATAAGTCAATTTTATACTCAAATCTGCGCAGAAGATGTTGTCTAGAAGGGGGATGACGAAAGCTTCGCAATTCTATCAACCAGCTAAGAGAACACAACTAATTCAATATCATGCACCTGAGCTAAAAATCTTCT